TTCTAACAAGTTTAAATGATACCCACTACAAAATTCTCACGAAATCAAATTTGGAATTTAAACCCACATATTTAAGCTTGTTAAAAATTTAATTTTCACTATCCAAGTGGATTTGGTTTGTTGAACTAATATTTGAGTCACAGTTACTGATTCGAAAGTTAACTTAAAAGCTTGAGCAATCTTTTTTAAAAATTAAAAATAATTTCGAGAACCTATTGGAGTTGAATGTTGCGTATTAGCCTATTATTTTTGGGCTAGTTGGTTGTAAATTAAAATATGGGCTATAAAATTGAAAAGTAGCGAGCCCAGTTATTCTTATGTGAAATTTTCCCCACCAAATATCTACGTAAAGCAATCATTGTAGCAGGGAAATTAATATGACAACAATTAGGTAGAAACAACTTAGCTAGCGTTTTGGACATAGATTTAATTGAAACATGAGAAAAGAGTTTTTGAAGTTGTGTTAAAAAATAATATTTGAAAGTGACTTTATGTTTGGACATGCATTTATTTAAAGAAAATTGAAAGTTTTGTGAGTGGAAGAAAAAATTTCACCCAAAAAACAGCCATAAACTAGTTTTTGCGAACTTGAATTTTTTTGAAATTTTCCCTCTCAAAACATGGTCATATATTCATAAACAAACAATGTTTTCAAATTTTTTTTTTTTAAAAAAATGAAGCTAAAATCCATAGCCAAACGGGAGCTTAAAAATCAGTTTTATCACAACTTGTTAATAGGATCCCCAGAATGCAGAACACTAAATGTAGAACAAAGATGAACTTGAGCTAACATGGCTTGTAAATTGTTATTTTGCTAGCTAGTTAGCATATTAGCCTTCTGATGTAAATAAATATTGGCTGCTGAAAGTCTGAAATATAAATCTGATCTCCCTTTCAACTTGTATCTGCCAGTCACTTTACCTAATTAAGTTCTATAGTAAGAACATACCTCCTTTTTCTTTAGCAACAGTAAAGAGATCAGAAAAAAATCAGGTGACCCATAATCTGTCTGACGAACAGGATATTAGATATAGGATTAACAAAAACGTTACCTCATGGAGAAAAAACATTACGTCACAGGGGAGCTCGTTTGCCAGACCAAATTCCTTTGGCGTGTGAGGTGCATATGGTAAGATCAATGAAATGAAAAACTTCAATAATTGATCACAGAAGTTTGTCCCACAAAAGGTGAGAGGTAAAGGAGTCAATTAATTAAATTGTCACTCAATTATCTCAAATTATCTCCTAAAGTCACTTTTCTTTTGTTTGTAACAATAAAGTCATTGAACTATGCCTATTGCACTCCGAAGGTCACTCAACTAGATTTTTCAAATTTTGAATTGCCAAATACTTATTTTACCCTCTAAATTATAAATATTTATCTTCTTTTATTTTTTTAAAAACTTTTTAATATTATGATTTTTCCCTTTTAATTTATATTCTGGACTTACCTATACAATAAATAAATATTATTTATAAATTAAAAAAATAAAAAGTATTTAAGCATCTATAATGCTGGAATAACAAAATAATGAGCATAGTAAAAGAACTAATTAGAAAAAGTTATTCATAACAATAATTTCAGTTTAACAAAAAAAATCAAAAATCTATTTACACAACTCAGAATGAAAGAAAATAAAGGTTATAAAAAATATATTCCATGCACCTAATATAAAATAATTATTTAAATAAAAGTATTTTTATAATTTACATTATATATTCTTGAATTATATTATATATATTCCATGCACGACTTAACATAGCATATTTTACCCTGTACAGATAGTCCCCCTGCTTTCCGGAGATAACTTTGTGCCGTCGGAAAGTTGGTAGAAAAACATAATAATATAATTGAGTTTAATTTTCAAGAATATATAATGTATATTATAAAAATACCTTTATTTAAATAATTATTTTTATATTACGTGCATAGAATATATATTTTACAACCTTTATTTTCTTTCATTCCGAATTATGTAAATAAATTTTTGAATTTTTGTTGTTCCTTCAAATACTCAATTCCCAAAAGAAAGTGAGTCATTACCCCCGTGAATGTCGAAACACGGACTCCTCCCGCGGAGGAGAAAAAGGGGGCACGACAGAAGGTTTTATGGGTGCTCAAACTATGGTCGAGCCATNCAGTGTAATTATCACCAATTCTCACCTCCCCCTTGAGAATTGAAGAGTGTAATTACACCCCTCCAATTACACCTAATTCCATGCTGACCAAGTAATTACTTGGCCAGACAAACATGCCAAACTGTATAATTACACCCAATTACACCCAAATCTGTTTTCAAGGTGGCTTTCCAAACAGGCTCTAAAGGATATGATTGACCCAAGTTATTAATGGAGGGTATATCCAGACCATTTCGTTCAAGGACAAATATGACCATTTCCAAATTTAAAATTATTTTCATGTAGTCCAATTTAACTTAAAAAGTTTATTGAAATGACTCAATAAGACTAAGAAAGAAGTGTTAGCAAATTAGAAAAAGAGGAAGTATCTGAGGGGTGTTTGGTTTGAGATATAAAAAATATTAATCTCCGTACAAAACTTAGTTTTACAAATTTTCTAGATGTTAAACTATGTAATACTAATATAATCTCCGCATAATAATAGAAAGTTTGGTTTCCGAAACTTATATTGGAGGTGAAGTATTATTTTACATGAATAAGAATACATTTATTAACAATACGTCAATAAGAGTATTTAAAGCCAAAAAATACACTTAAAGTTGGCAACTTAATACGAATCTAAGTACGGAATCGAAGAAATTAAAGATAAGATAGAAATTGAGAATAGACCCAACAGAGAAGTAATTGCCAAACAATTGAAATAATCAATTATCCAACAAATTACAATACTTAGTAGACCTAAACTATAGGATTATTCTGAAGAGGAATGGAATTCCTCTTTTGAATACACCTTGCAAGAGTTTGAATCAAAAAGTTGGAAACACATGCTCCTCAAAATTCTTCAATATTCAAAGATAAGCTAAACTAGAAATGACCTCATCATATGTTATTTATACTAGGTCCAAATAAGGTAAGAAAGACATAAGTACCCCTAATTGGTCTATCTACTATGCCCACAAGGGAATTCTTATAACCCAAGTCTCCAATCATTGGCAAGCATGGCCTAGGTCCACATGCTTGCATACAAGTCATCATGGGGGCACACATGTGCGCCTATCACCATCCACGTAGGCATGGCCTTCCACGTGGTCACCATCCAAGTCTTCCATGCTCCTCCAAGATCTCCACCCTCAACACATTGTATACCTTCAAGGGTCTTCCACCATTATCTTCCAATGCTTCCCGGATATTTCAATGCTTGGTGAAGAGGTAAAAATCCCTTAGTTCCTTGGCTTGAGATCTTGTGAATGACCTAGATGCCATTGGTGTTCCTTGAGCTGTATCACAACTCTTGCATAATAATCTCGGCATTTCTTATTCATCGTATTACTAATCTTGTTAATATCCAAAGAAACTAAGTTCCGTAATTCAAATTTGACTTTCTTAAATCACCATTCAACAGGGGCCGCTGGGAATGCATAATAGGGGCCTAGGACTAATTCTCATATGCCAGGAGAATAATTATTAGTAAACTGTATTTGTAAAATAATTCTAAAAAATATAAATGAACATAAACAGAAATGAAAAACAGAAACAGAATTTTAATCCGAGCCCACTGAATTCACAGTGTTTCCTTAAGGAATTTAATCCCCTCATAGTTCCCAAGGTTGTGGATTATTTCCTCCCAGGATAGAACGAATTACACACTGGTGTAGTGGTACTTCAAACACCAGTGTTTCAACGAACACAAAGTTCGGTAGCAAATCACACTTACTGTTGCTTTCTTTGAAGTTAAAATATGCAGAAGAAAGGAGAACTCAGAAAATTCGTATGGAAAATCTGAGAGAATGGACTTGTATTTATAGCCAAAGTTGGGCTGAAATCTGAAGAGGTGCAACTCTTCAAATGGTTGTTTTTGCAAAACGGCCAAAGAATAAATGCCATAACATAAATGGCTATTTACTCAACAATAAAGAGGGAAAATTGAAGGTTAGTTAATTTTTTGTTACAAAAATAGAAAACTGAAAATTGGATAACTGAATTGGATTTAATATTAATATTTATTTTAATATTAATATTTTGTTATTAAATCAAATATTTAATAACATTATTTACTATTAACAAATAAATTTGGTCCAAAAATTAATCAATCGATCATTTGACCGAATCCGAATCCAAATTTGAGCCGAGCAAGCGACGACGGCGGCGCGAGGCTTGCCTTCTTTTCAACTCTTTATGAGCTAGAAGAAGAGCAATTGCTTATATACCCATTAAAAATATTTTCCTCTTCCCATATGGGACAATCAAGGAGGGAAACTCAAATATTACTTAAATATTTCATTTTTTCCCTCCATTTCTCATTCACTCCATTTTAAGCATTAAGCCATTAATAGCTTAAAAACCCAACAGAGTGACCATTTGAGTAATGGACTCGAAGTAAAGGATTAGTTAGAATACTATCATAATCACGTAAATTGCTATTTCTGTTATTTTCTTAAATTGGATCTAGAAAATAGATATTATTACTTGTTGATTAACACTATGTACACATAGAGACGACATGTCGTGTATAAAAAATCTTACATTTCGAACTTCTTATAAAATCACTTCAAATGAACTAATAAGCTTGGACCTGCAACGTAAATTCTTGGGTACATAAAACTCAATAGATCATAGCACACTGGAGAAGTAATCCACTACTTTCATAATATATATATATATATACACACACTATTTTACTTGAGTCCAATAATTTTTGAGGGGATCATCTGCATATTTTCTTTTGTTTTAAAGTACGTATTAATTTTGTGGCCTACAGGCTACAGCTTATTAGATGGAGGAGCACATTTCATCTTTTCTGGAACAAACAGAAGATAACGCCACAAATTGACGAGAAACAAAAAATTAATCGCAAATACGGCTGAATGAAATCGAGACTGGTTGAATTTAAAAAATAGAAGTTTACAGTGAACATCCATCATTTTGTGTTGAAGCATTACCTGGTTCTGTTTATGCACAAACCTTGATATCGCTTCAAACAAGAAGTTTGTATTTTAAACAATCGATATATTAAAGAAACAAAAGAATTATAAACAATTCCTTCGTTAGAACTGAACATGAAGGCAACTGCTAATTACTTCCACTGCCACTTGAAGGAAAAATAATTACAACCATGAGATATGTTGAGTTTTAGATTTTGGAAAGAAGAGTTGGATCAAATGCCTCGTCTTGGTACCCTTCGGTAAAGGATATGGGCCTCGAAACGTACAAGAGTGTTGAGAAAGATTGGATGTTGCTTAATTGCTGCCCAAAAAAATAAATGAAAAAGAATAATTACCATTCAAATTGAAAATGAATATAAACAAGTCATCATTGTATGACTAAAAGGTCCCAAGCAAAACAATTAACAGAGGTTATGTAATTTTTTCAATACATTATCTTGCAGAATGGTAGTTTACTCATTACTTTCATATCTGGAATATTTTTCTACAGACGAAAAAATAATAGTAATAAGAGTAGAGTGTTACTGAATAACTTATTTACACAATTTATTTACCTTCCAATATTTCATTCTAGACCTCTATATGCTGACCATTTGAACTTATCATAAGTCATAAGCCAGCCCTTCCTTCAGCTCCTCTTTATTTACCTAAAATCAGAATAAAAAGCAAGAACAGAAGAGTGCAAGACCTGACATTAGTTTCATACAAATATGTTAACTGAACACCCAGTCTCAGTAGTAACTTTTAGATTAAAAATAGCTAAGCACCCAATAATTTAAAAATTCTGGATCCGCCACTGGTTAGCAAGGTTTGGAACAACTCACCTTCCCCATAGCATTGCGAGGCAGCGAGTACCACACCAGCAGACGTCTAGGTATCTGTAATATAGGTGGAGCAATAAACATTAGTTTAATACGCATATCTTGGTACTCGCTATACCAGATTATCTTGCAAAAGAAGCAAATCAAAAGACAACTTTTCTTCTGATAAGTTAATAGTAAAACAATATCAACAGAATAAGAGCCAAAATCCAGAACTCCCAGCCATGTAATTATTCAATCGTTTTATCTCTCTCTCATTTATGTCATGAACACTATCCTGATTAGGGAAATTAGGAGCGTCTGAACGTAAAGAAGGAATATAGTTCCGTGGGAGAACTAAAGACCTCTGCTATATTGCAGGTGATCTTAGCAATTACTCTCTAATATGCGTCTTAAGATACAAGCGATATCTTGCATAAAGATTTTGTGCCAAATTCCTTTAAGCTCAGGGGAATACTTCACGAAACAAGGGAGATACCTTATAAGGGGCAAGTCTCTCTTTTGCCCAATCTGAAAGTTCTTGCAATCTTAGTGCAGGTTTTAATTCCTCCTCTCTTCTTCCCTTGAGCTCAGTGTAAGGAACAAAAATTGCACACACCACTTCACCATACTCTTTGTCAGGTAATCCTAACACGCAACATTCTGATATAGCTGGATGCTGTAAAAAGGAAATGTATATAGTCAGAATCAGTATTTTGGCTGTCAGAATCTTTTTTTTTCCAGATAGATGTTTCCAAGGAAAAAATCTGAAGCAATAGAATTCCGAAAGGGCAGTTCATATTATAGATGGACAAACAGCTACCTCCAACAGAATTGCTTCAATTTCCAATGCCGAAAATTTGTATCCACCGACCTTCATAATATCAGCATTGGTCCCTGGAAAAAGAAAATAATGAACTATTTTCGTCCAATAGATACAGTTCAAAAACCAATAAGGAGATCATTATGCCAAAGCTTGATGGATTGGAAAAAGAATTGGCTAATAAACAATAATATATAGATTCATCTATGCTTCCACTTCGGGGAAAAAAATCTACCGTCTTCAAAGATATTTGCTAGGGTAGAATTGACTGTATAATTCTTTGCAAGACTATATCTGCACTCTTCTTTTGGGTTCCTTGGACACACAGATATAATTAGAAAATGAATTTCTGAAAGGTTTAGTAGAAGGGTGTGGAGGTAGCAGGTAGTTGAACGTATTTCTTTTCCATACCAGTTATATTAGACTTATTCTTGTATTTCCTTATTCGTAGTTTGCTTTTAATTCTTGTTATTTCTTTCACTTCGGTTACTCTGTTATCGTATTGTTGCTATGTTTCTTTTTCATCATTCCTTGAGCTAAGGGTCTATCGGAAACAGCCTCTCTACCTTCACAAGGTAGGGGTAAGGTGATAAGGCCTACGTACACACTACTCTTCCAAACCCCACTTTGTGGGATTACACCAGGTTTGTTGTTTTTGTTGTTGTTTAGCAAAAATTCCAGAAAGGTACATGCTTTCTGAAAAGCTGCCATCCATACCTTATGTTAATACTACTACTACTACTGCTGCTAATAATAATAATAATAATAACAACAACAAATATTAGTAATGATAATAATGTATTGGCAGAAGGATAGTCAGAATATTGATCGGCATTAAAAAAAGCTACCAAATATCCAAGTAAAACAAGTACCACGTAGAATATCTGGATATACTTACGTCCCAAAATGATGTAACATCCATCTTCATCAACTGTAACAGCATCTCCGGTCCTGAAGAACCCATCATCAGTAAATGACTGATTGGTTACCTAGTAATTCACCAGATGCATGAGAGATATTTTTAAATAACAAAAATGATATTAGAGGCCATCAGTTTCACATCAAAAAGGTGACTTATAGCCTGTTTGGCCAAGCTTCTTTTTGGCCAAAAGTACTTTTTTTTTTGCCAAAAGCACTTTTGGCCAAAATTTGAGGTGTTTGGCCAAGCTTTTGGAAGGAAAAAAAGTGCTTTTGAGGAGAAGCAGAAGCAGTTTTGGAGAAGCAGAAAAAAGTAGCTTCTCTCCAAAAGCATTTTTTTGAGAAGCACTTCTGAGAAAAATACACTCAGAAGCAGTTTTTTAAAGCTTGGCCAAACACTAATTGCTGCTCAGAAGTGCTTTTCAAACTAATTAGCCAAACACAAACTGCTTCTCACCAAAAGTACTTTTGAAAAAAGCACTTTTGAAAAAAAGCACTTTTCAAAATAAGCTGATTTTTGCAGCTTGGCCAAATGGGCTATTAGTCTCACATGCCAACATAAAATATGTGCTTGACAAGCTCCAAGAGGGCAACATAGTAGAGAGAGAAAGACAGAGACAGAGGTTAAAGATGGTGTCTCAAAGAAGAAGCATATAAACAAAAGGCTAGTACCAATTTATGTGAAAAAGAATATCAAAATAGGAAATGGTTGGAGATCGTACTACCGACTGTATAGTGATCAATTACCTCAGGTAGCTTCCAATATTCTTTGAACAACGAAGGACTCTTAATACAAAGCTCCCCTAGTTCTGATTTATCACTACCATTCTCATCATGATCATCTAAAAGGATCTTGGCCTATCAGAAACCAGGAAATGACAGAACAGTCAAAGTTAATTCACACGGAGCTACAGCAATGAGAAGTTGGATAACGCTATTTACAGACTATGTCTGAACTTTGGTGAAGTTAGATGTTGAATACCATAAAAATAAGAATAAAAATTATATAAAAAAATAAAACTTACTAACCTGTACAGCTGAAAAGGGCTTGCCAACGGTACCTCCTTTACGTTTGCCTCTAATGGGATTAGATATTGCCATCACAAACTAGACAAAATTGGCCATTCACATAAAGATGGAAATGAATTAAGGAGAAATAAAGTAATGAGCAGCCTACAGATCAAATTAAGTGGCTATGAGGGAAAAAAAATACCTCAGTCATGCCGTAATATTCTAATAACCGATGCCCTGTAATTGTTTCCCACTGCTGCATGATGGGGAAAGGAAGTGCAGAGGAGCCACACATCTGGAAAGACAAACCAATTTGTTCAGTCATTTTCACTGGAATAGAAGTGGGATTATACTCTGAAATTCAATAATGTGCCAAAAACGGAAAAAAATAACAGCGGCCAATTCTACTGATTATACACAATAGGGTCCTAATTGTATTTTGTATGGTCTATTTAAACACTTAACGACTTAGGGGTTCCATGCTTCGTGCTTCTTACTTACCATAAGGCGCAAGTGCCTCGCTGCTGAAGCAGAAGCTGCTTTCTGCTTTGGATCCATCTCTTCATAATATTGTATTAGTCGTGTATACGTAGTAGGAACCTATTTGAAGAGAGAATTTAAGAAAAAAATAAAGCAAATTAAACACCATTGTGCTAGTGAATGCTAGCCAAGCATATACAATGTGTTCTAGGCTCCTAGCAACTGAAGAAACCCAGTCAGTGAATGATCTTCCTTGAGAAGCTTAAGAACGAAAGCTCATGTATAGACAACGTACTAGATATGTAACAAGCCAAGTCGTGGCAACTATATTTCGCTATCAAGTCAGAACAACTTACTCCAGTGAACATTGTTATGGCATTATCAGTTTTAGTCCTATCTGCAGGATAAGATTCACACCATCTCTGCCAAATCTCGCTTACGCTGAATTTTGGAATAAATTCAACCTTAAAAAAGAAAGAAAATGTAGTAGCATGAAAATCCTGTCCAAACAACATGTATGCTGCTGGAGAACAAGTTTGACGATGTTAAATGTCTTTTAGTAGTTACCGTGGAACCTGCATAAAGAGGAGCAAGTAAAGCATTGAAAAGTCCATGCACATGTAAGGTACCAGTTAAGGATCAGAAAAATATAAGGCTTCCAATCACATTATTTATGTCCCATAAGATAAATAACTATGCAAAAAATGAAACACTGACAGAACATTTTGGGAAAAAATGCTACTGAGGATATGATGAAGTGGCAGACAGTGCAGAAATTGGTCCTTGGACGTGTATTCCCATGCCTCTGCTAAAATTTGGACCTGGAACAGTACAAAGATGGAAATAGTTTACTTCCAGAATCTGAAATGTACGAGGTTCAGTTTACCGTAACTAATTGTTTCAACCGAGTGAACCTTCAACCTCCCAAATTATTGACATTTGAAAGGAAAAGGTTAGTTATGCAAGTCAAAGAGAACACAAATTCTTCTTCATAAGTAGTCCTACGTGGTAAACTGGTAATACATGTTTACTATCATCTCTCAGCAATAGATACACTGACACAAGCACAATCAGAATATCTGATCCTAAGAACTGATAGATTAGATAGACAGTCTAACTACAGAAAATCAAGAAAGTTAAAAGCAAATTGTATAATCTACCAACCACAACCAAGCTCTTTAGTAGGCCTGACATCTACTGGGCTTTAGTTTATCCCACGTCCAGTTGCCAACTGAAGTTTGAAGTGAAATATTACAAAGAAGTAAATGAATGAAGCACATCAAATATATCCATACTTATCCACATAAACTATCACCAAATATCTACATAAAGCATCACCCTCAGCAGGGAAGTCAATATCACAACAACCAGGCAGAAACAACTTAAAAATCCATTTCATCAAAACTTGTTGATAGGATCCCAGATTGCAGAACACTAAATCTAGAATAGAGATGAACCTGAGCTAATATTCCTTTGTGTGTATGAACTACTCCTTTTGGTTTCCCTGTTGTACCACTGGTGTACAAAATCAAAGCTGGATCCTCACCTGCAACGTAAGATTTACATAACAATGTAAAGGACTGTTTAAGAGCTCTAACAACGTGAACAACCATATCGAGAGATACATAATGCTCCCTTTATCTCACCACAGTTTCTCGTTTCCAGAATATTTCTAGGACCATCAGATACCATGACTTTTGCATGGTCATGCTTCGCCGATAAATGGGCACTGGGAATAGGAGGAATTAGAGACAAACAGGCACCAGTTTTAACTGCAAGTGTATTCATAAGTTCTTGGTGGACTTTTTTTTGATAAGGAAGTTCTTGGGGGTCATCAGTACTCAGAATTACTGAGATGCCCTAAAAGTCAAATTTGCACAAGGATTTTAGTATATCATGAAACAAAGGACCTTGCGTTATAGTAATATGATGCAGATGGAAACTGTTTGAAGATGACCAAATTGTACAAGGTTAGAAGAAAAACCAGAAGAATAATGCAAGCTATATTACACATGTTTGAGTATGACAAAAAAGAAAAGCATCATTATTCTGTGCATGTTGGATATCTTGCAAGTCACAAAAAGACTGAGCAGAAGATGATAAAAAAGATAGAAGATTCATGGACAAACCGAGTCATTCATCACATGTAGTAGTTCGGTTACTGGGTAGCTTAGCGCAACAGGGACTGCAACACCTCCACTAAGCCAAGTCCCTAGTATTCCAGCAACAAACTCAGCACACGGTTTGGCTATGATTCCTACTCTTGCTCCACCAAGATCTACATTTCTTTTTACGCCATTGCCCTAAAAAGGAGGAAGCATTTGAACAGTAAGGCAATCAAGGAAAGGACTGACTACGAAATTGGTAGAACAATATAAACAGAAGAAAGAAATGGTGTCTTGGAAAACGACTCACGTTCAAATTAGAAAAGCTAGAAAGCATTCTCCAAGTCACATCTAATTGACGAAGATTAAAATCAAGCAAGAATGCAGCTTTAATTATTCAGAGGTAATATGTCGAAACTCACAATTTTAGGATCTAGGTTGCTTAACAAACTTGATATACTACTTGCAGATGATATCAGTTGAAGGTAAGTGTAGCTCTTCTCATCAACTCGTATTGCAATATTCCCCTGGGACTCGGGTCCCTTGCTGGCAATTTCTTTCACCAGCTCCATATAGCTACTAACATTTGAAGCTGTAATATGAAAGCAGGAAAGAGAAAAACAAAAGAAAAAGAAAGCAACATACTTCAAGGTTATGTAAAATTTCATATTGCTATGAGTGTTTCTAAAAGTGAAAAGTGCAAAAAGGCAACAAGGTTCGTGAGGCTTAAAGGGAAAAGGTGTAAATTGAACTAGTGAAGTGCACACTTCTTTGAAGTGAAACGCACAATTTATGGAAAACTAAAAGATACCAAATATGATGAATTTAGCTAAGTTGTGCGGACTCTTCATTTGTGGTGCTGCTCCCGTGTCAACACGACACCAACACTAACACTAGTATGGGTGTGGGATAGGTACTAAATCTGGTCAATCAACATTTGGGTACTTTGACCACAAACTATGGAGAAATTAGAGACAAGATTTGGCATTGTTTATTTCTCAAGGCAAAAGCTACTGTAGATTTCTAGATGGTTGCCTACGACTTGAGAATAAAAGACCAAGTTACTGCATTCTACAAGCTACATGTAAGTTTTCCACATACTCTCCTAATTTAGGCATATTTTTATAGCTGTATTTTTAGATATATCTGAAACCTTGCACTTATATCCGTACTCCTGAATCTTAAATTTAGATCATGAAGGATCTGACCTCTAGATCTGCATCCGTACCGGATACCTAACCCAAGTCCGAGCAACTTAGGAATTTAGTGCTATAATCATCAAATAGTAATTAAAATAACTAACTATGGTATCCAATAGATATTTTGATACAACTCTTCAAATTTGAGATCCAAAGAATCAATGCCTTCCCATTGGGATCACTTTGTGCGTCATTGTTTGAAGCACAATTTTTTCTAAAGGGCATGGCTTCAACCATGAAGCTATAACCCCTCTTTTCGCATCACTTCATATCTTTATATGGCTTTTAATAACACTATCAGTCGTCTCTAACTTTTTGAAGCGAAAAAGAATAGAAGAAAGTGTAGCATCCAAGGGAATTTCAATAGAGTACGTCGCGTGTAATATTCAGCAAACAATACAAATGGTACTCCAAGAATGCAGATATTTGTTACAGATGCAAATAGCAGTCAGTATGCTGAATGAGAATTAATCTTATCCCTTATCTCTGTCTTCTCTCTTTCTCTTTCACTCTTCTTCCTTCTTTTCTGTATTTCACTTTTAGTTAAGCTCGCCGGAGATTGGCATTTCATTACAATTTACTAGGAAGCAAAATTAGTCAAACAGACAATGTCAACAAATTCAAATTCAGACAATGAATCCAAACAGCAGCTTCCCGAAATTCAAGTTTCCATACTGAAATCATTTCTCACCCCTCAAATGCCAACTGAAAGACAACAATAAATCAAGAACACACAGTTCACGGGAATCACACCAATTTGTTTCGCTAGTCTATAACGTATTCACATGTATATAAAACACGAATTACATCGAAAATTCACAGTCTAAAATCGTACTTGTTACTGAAGATTGTTCCAATACTTTTCGGGAACAAAATCTTAATTGCAACTGGCTACTCTTTTTACTCCTTTGTATTACTCTTAAGCGATACTGTTTGCTCAAAAGTTGTCACACATCTTATGAGTATAAAACAATATATATAAATCACGGGAAAATCATAGCAAACCATAATAATCCGTTGGACCAAATGAAGGAAACAAAAATTAATACTCAGGATTAAGGGGGAGAAACATTAAAAGCCTTTATTGATAATATTGGTTTGGTCTGCCTCTCCATGAAGAGGTTCAGAGCCTTACAATGGTGTTTTCACTTCCCATAGGATGGGTATGTTTTTCTCTTCTCTCTCTTCTCAATAGTGGTGAAGAAGCAGCCCTTTTCTAGGGCTCCCTCTCTTGGTATTTATAGCTGTGAGCTTCGTGAGCTGGCAATAAGTGGCCGTGACCACGTTGGGATCTCGCCTTTTATGGTGGCGGATAGGCCATGGCCTTGTCGATCGAACCAGATGCGGGCTGAACATCGTCAATTCTGAATGGTCGTGCCACTAATTAATCATGAATTAACTTAAAACGGGATTAGCCTCGTTAATTAACGTGGGGTCGAATTCTGACCCATACAGATACATCAGTTAGGAAAAGTCCTATTAGTTGCATTTTTTAAACTCAGGACCGCCACTCTAACCTTCTCCAATTAAATACTGGAGTAGGCCTCGAACTTGTGACCTAAGACACAAGTCCCTCAACCTTTGCCAATTGAGCTAACCCCCCAGGGCTTATCAATTGCAATATTTAAGTATATAAGAAATTATACATTAACTTAAGTTTTGACATGAATCCGGGTTGAACCATATTGGTGACCCAAATCTAATTCCTTCATCTACACATGAAAAGATCCATTTTTATTCCAAGAAATGAAATTGACAAGATTCAATCAAGAACTTACCGGCTGAGAAAACCCGATATTGGTAGGAGCGAAAGGTTGGTTTTTCAGGAGAAGAGAAACAAAATGGAATAGATGTACGGGAGTTAGAAAAATTGAAGCGAAAGGGAGAGTCAAAGTGAGAAAGTGGTTGAGTAATTTAAACGAGCTTATATTATAATATAAATATGAGAAATTTTTTGCCAGAAACAAACCAAAAAAATATTGTATGTAGAAGAAAACAGAGGAAGAAGGCGGGTTTTCACCGATTATAAAGTGGTTGGTTGGTTGGTTACTGCCGAAGGTTGTTAAAAGTAATTGAACTGTTATAAAAAAAAAAAAAAAAACTGTGAACAACACGCATGTCATATAGCCTCCAGGTGTGACAGAACTTTCTGGCTATTTTTTATAATGCTTAGACATATTTATATTAGACTACATCATGTATTATCATCGTTGGGTATCTCACTCAACTTTGATAATAGGATTTATGTTGTTTTCAAATTTTATTTCCTACTTTTTTGTAGGACTTCAAGACATCTTATTTTTTTTTTTATGTTATTTATATATAAAAACTAGTTCTAGATATACTGCCTAGTGGATTTGCTTTAAAAAAAAAAATTGTATGGCCAAACCAGAAAAATCAGCTTATTTTGAGAAATGCTTTTTTCAATAGTATTTTTTTAAAAAGTGCATTTGGAGAAAAATATTTTGTGTTTGGCTAATCAATTTGAAAAGCACTTTTGAACAATAATTTGTGTCTGGCAAGCTTTTCAAAAAGTACTTTTAAGTGTCAAATTTCAAATAAGGTCATGAAGAGATTTGCTTGACAGTTAATATTATATAAGTAGAAAAATAATTACAAAATTCATTATTAAAAATAATAATTATTTTTTTTTATTTAAGTAAAATATAAAAATAAAATTGAAAAGTACTTTATTCTTTCAAGATAATTTAAGTATATCAAAAAATCATTCAATAAATATGAAAGTTCATCCCAAAAGTCATTTTATATTACTTAATAGTTTAAACTAATTAAGGTTATTTTGGTATATATAATATTTTGCAAAGGGTATTTTTGGTAGGAATAAAAGTCAAAACTGCTTCTACTTCTAGCCAAAAGCACTTTTTCCCCCAAAAAAAAAGCTTGGCCAAACACCTCAAATGGTGGAAAAAAAGCACTTTTTTTGAAAGAAAAAAAAAACACTTTTGGCATGGTGGGAAGCTTGGCCAAACAGGCTATAAGCAAGCACAGTGCACGAGTTTGGGTACTTGGACTTGGTAAAAGTATAACACTTTTTAATCTTTTACATTTCTATATTTACCCTATAGCTCATGGGTTCGAACAGTAAAATCAGTCATTTATACTTACACCAGGATAAGCTACCTACATCACACTCTTTAGGGTGCGGCTTTTCCGAAAACCGCGTGAATGCGGGTTGCTTCATGCACCTAGCTTCCCTTTTTACTTTTCTATTTCACCTTTTTCGGCCACACAACATAAATGTTTTTTAATCTTTTTTTTAACTGACATTTTTGCTTCACATGTCTTACTAGGACTCTTTGTCACACCCTTTTTTTACTAACCATTAACCCTGTTAAAATAGTAAAAAAGATTTATAAAGCTCAAAAGAGTTTTCAAATTTAAAAAGTGACAAAAGGTTTGTTTAAAAGGGATTTTCCAGAGTCGCCACTCGGCGTGTCATCTTGGTGTGCCCAGTCACCATTTAAAAGTAATTTTTCCTTAAAAACGCATTTGGACTCCAAAACTAGTTTGCACCAGAGATTCCAAGTTTGACTCGGGGAGAAGGTGTTAGGCATTCCCCGAGTTCCGTAACTAGTACGGTTGTGTACCCGGTCTAGTTGACTTTTAAAATATTCAAATTGAGGTAAAAAACACGTAAGAGGAAAATAAACACAAAAGAGGCTCGAGGCCGTCCCCACCTAATAAATAAAAGAAAACGAAAATAAAATAAATCTAACTATCCTATACTACGCCTCCAATGATGATGCCACGGTCTTCTTTTACATTCACTTCGGGGCATACCCCTGAGTAAAAATATATACAGAATCTACGAGGCATTCCCCTGATGAATTAATTAACTAAAAGGGGCAACCTCTCACCTCGAAACCAAAAGCAAACAAATAGAAAAAAATCCTAAGATTGCCTACCCAGGTGTGATCGGCATAAACATGCATCTATCGTACCCACAATAAAGGAGCAGGAGAAAATAAGATGTGATTTTAAACCCACGCCGTGGTATCCGAACTTTATCAATGCATGTTCATCTCAACTCAATTTTTTTAAAAAAAATTAATAAGTCCAAATCCCATGGCCCCATAAGACATTCATCCAAAACGAATTCATGGAAAACATAGATGAAACAGACAAACACAATTTCATTTAAAATTCACTTGAACAGGATATCTCCATTTTTGTCCGAAGGCGTCATAGTCTAGAGGCACCATCCTCATGGCCCGAGGACATCATTTCATGGCCTGCAAATCCCTTATCATACGCTTCATGGCCCAAAACATCATGGTCTAAGGACATCATCATCATTGTCCAAAGATAATCTTCACGGTCCAAAGGGAATTTGCATCATGTTTAAGTTTTTGCAATAACCCATATATATTCGCATGCACCGTATTTTAAGTTTTGCATGTAACTCGGGAGGTAAACGTTCTACAAACGGGAGCAATCTTCACCCCGGTTTCAGTTCACAACGTTCACATCCTTTGACTACTTCAAACATAATCGAAGACCGTCACTTGATTGTCTTTTATCCCGTAACCATTCAAATACACGCATTATATATCTATAACCTCCATATCGCATTCATGAAGAATTGTCCGTTACTTACAACACGTCCTACCCAAAAGAACCTTTTTGAAACATACGACCACTCTTATAACAATTTCATCGATTTCGTTCGTCGTTGGATCCGGAACTACACACGGCCAGATTCCCGTAACACCAGGGATATGTAGGCAACTCCAGGGTTCGGCCCCTATTTTTAAATCACATCATTCCCCAATCAACTCGGCCAAAATTGGTCATCATTTTCTTTATGCGACAACTCTTTCATCATTCCCGGGTAAAAAGGGGCAGTTGTTGATACCCAAATTTTTCCTCATAATTTTCCAAATAGTATATATATTTTTAAAATGTTATTTTGCATTATCATTTAAATTATAAGAATTATACCTGTATTTCCCATAGTTTTCATCAATTTTTAGAGCTTTAAAATCAATTTTCGTGCATTTAAATTGCTTAATGTAACGACCCAACCGGTCGTTTCATGTGTTACCGCTCCGTTTCCCCCATTCCTGCTTCTTATTGTCTTGTTTAGCTGTATTATGTGCTATCGGGTTGGTTGGCTCGGGTTCGGAGAGGTTTTGGTAAGGTTTGAGACACTTAGTCTCTTTTGAGTAAGCTTAAGTTGGAAAAGTCAACCGGATGTTGACTTATGTGAAAAAGGACTCGGATGTGAATTCTGATGATTCAGATATCTTTGGGAGGTGATTTGGGACTTAGGAGCGTGATCGGAACGTGTTTTGGAGGTCCAGAGTAGATTTAGACTTGAATTGGCGAAATTGGGATTTTGGCGTTTTCCGGTTGATAAGTGAGATTTTGATATAGGGGTCGGAATGGAATTCCGGAAGTTGCAGCAAGTTTGTTGTGCCATATGTGGTGTTTGTGCAAAATTTCAAGTCATTCGGACGAGGTTTGATGGACTTTTTGATCAAAAGCGGAATTTGAAAGTTTTTGGAACCTTAGGCTTGAATCCGATGTTATTTGGTTGATTCGATGTGGTTTTAGGTGTTTCGAAGATTGGTACAAGTTTGGATAGGGTAATGTGGCTTGTTTGTGCTTTTGGTTGAGGTCCCGAGGGCCTCGGGGTGATTTCGGATGGTTGACGGGAAGTTGGAGTTGGAAAGTTACAACTGAAGCTGCTGAAGTTTGTTATAACCGCACCTGCGGCTTGGGGACCGCAGGTGCGGGCTCGCAGAAGCGCCCAGAGGGTCGTAGATGCAGAAATGGCCATGGGGAGCTGGAACCGCAGAAGCGGCTGTTCGAACGCACCTGCGATAGCGCAGGTGCGGGTGTTTGATCGCAGATGCGGTCCGGGGCGTTTAAGTGATTTGCGCAAAAGCTCACCTGGGACCGCAGGTACGGGTCCGCAGGCGCGGGATTTATACCGCAGAAGCGGTTTAGCTGGGGCAGAACATATAGATTATGGACTTCGCGATTTTTAGCCTTTCTTCACCATTTTTAAGTCGGTTTTGAAGCTTTTTGGGAGATTTTGAAGAGGGAATTCATGGGGACTTCATTGAGGTAAGATTGTTGAACCTAAAACTTGTTCCTATGGTGTTATTTCATTGATTAGGCTTGAAATTTATGGAAGTTTGTGGGTGAATATTGAAGAAACTAGGGCTTGAGATTGGAGACCTTCGATTAAGGATTTGAGGGGTCATTTGTTGTCGGATTTTGGTATTCTTGGTATGTACAGACTCGTGGGAGGATAAGGAGTTTATTGATATAATTTTTATCGGATTCTGAGACGTGGGCCCGGGGGTAGGGTTTGGTTAATTTCGGGATTTGTGTTGTAATTTGATTATTTTCGCATGGGCTTCGTTTCCTTAGCATATTTTGACGTCATGATTCTGATTTTGGATAGATTCGACGCGAGTTGAGGCTGAGGAGAGAGGCAAGGGCATCGCGGGCTAGAGTTTGGACCGGATAGAGGTAAGTAATGATTGTAAATGCTGTCCTGAGGGTATGAAACCCCAAATTTCACATCGTTGTGCTATTTTGAGGTGACACACACGCTAGATGACGAGCGTGGGGTCGTGCACCGTTGGGGATTGAGACTTAGTCCGTCCCGTATGACTGTTTAACTGCGTATTAGATTGAAAACTGTTTGCTATCATTGTGTTTTGGAAAGTATTATCATGTTTTGGGCTGAATGCCATATTTGGGCCTCGTGCCAACTGTTTTGGACCCTTAGGGGATTTTTACTACTATTCCTCACTGTTTTGACCTCGTATTTGTACTCAGTCATGCTATATTCTACTGTATTCACAACTCAGCCATCTTTACTCGTTTTTGATATTTTAAATGATACTCTGGGCTGAGCATCATGTTTTACTGTTGCCCGAGCGGCTTGTGATGTCTGACTGAGTGAGGACGAGGGCCTGTGTTGTGAGGATACTATGGGATCGGGCTGCGCGCCGCAGCAGTGTTATACTGATTCATGAGTATGAGGCTGA